TGAGAACAGTAGTGAGCTTTTTGTCATGAGCTTGTTCAGACCCTTGGTAGAGATTTTTGAGTACATCCCAAATCTCTTTGGCAGATTCACAGTTGCTGATGATGTCAAATTTGTCTGGAGCAACGCCACATGAAATTTCATAGAAGGTAATTTCATCTTTCTCCATCTTTTCGAGATCATCGTTGGTAGGTCTGTTCATAGCAGCTGCACCACCTCCAGTTCTTGCCTGAGCACCATCAGCTGCAATGGAAGTGAGAATAGGGACATGAGGTCCTTCTTCTACAGATCTCCAAAAACATCTCTTCCGAGTCTCGTTAAATATCTTTTCATTCTTTGGGACCAATGAAGATATTCACTTGAAAAAAGTATTGGAGCCCTGTTAGAACCTCCAACACTGTTTGAAACATTTAAAGAATAAGCCTGTGCCGTTTTTCCTTGTGTTAATGAGCTTTAGTGGTATAAAAGACCTTTTAAATTAGAGTTTGTTGAAAAAGAGTTTCATTTTTCTGAAAGGAATTAAAAGGCAACCACTTTGGATCTGATACCAATTGTTGAGAGAAGAACTTTAGAAAAGTTAGTAACGAGATAATATATTGCAGAATAATAAGTTAATCTCAATGGATCTTTGTTAGCTCAACAATAATAGTTATATTGCAGAAATATAAGGAATGTAAATAGCAACAAGTTTATATCGATAAACATTAAACAAGTAGTCACTTAGTTGAATCGTAACATGGTTTACATGCAAACACAAGTTAGAAAATGATGAACAACATAAGCGAAGAGGGACTCGGTTGTAGTATCAATAAGATAACTTTAGATATAGATATGAAAGATCTCGTATTGATAAGTTCAGAAATTGGTAAGTAAACATGAAGTGGGAGGTTCTATTTACAGAGTCCCAAAAGGTACACGAAAATAATAAACTATTACAATGTAGCTGAATTCGGTGACCCTGCAGAGTACATCGGATAATACTAAGATTACAAGAAAAGTCAGTAAAATGTAACTTGTGACGGTCTTCATGTTACATTCATTTGCGGGTCTTCTTCACGTCTTCGGGTCCATAAGATGACAAACAGTCTTTTTGTGATACTTCTCCGATTCACAAAGGCATTGGGGTCTTCGGGTCCATCTTAGTTGAAGATGGTCACTTTCTTGTTTCAACATCGAGAACCCCTAATCCGCTGATCATTTTTCAAAACCAAGACCACCAATATTTTCCAAATGGTGCGTCTAACCCATAACTAGGTTAAAAAAAGATTTGACGATTTTCTTTTGAAATGTGCATGTATGCACGTTTGAATGTTCATATATATATATATATATATATATATATATATATATATATATATATATATATATATATATATATATATATATATATAAATGCATGCTTGCATATTTGTGTTTTTTTTCAATATTTTTTAAAACTAACCCAACAATGAGACTCTATTAGAAGTGTTTAAGAGAATCATAACTTGAAAATGTCAAAAAAACACAGAGAACATAAATATGCATGCATGCATATTTAGATGTGCATATATGCATATTCCAAAAAAAAAGGTTCGTTAAATCTTTATTTTTTTCTGAGTTTTGATCCCTTATTGATGCAAAATTTAAGGGATATTGGTGGTTTTGGTTTTGAAAAATGATGAGAGGATTAGGGGTTTTCGAGTTCTCGCAAATCTTTAAATTCTTAAAAGAGCTTCTCTCTCTCTCTCTCTCTCTCTCTATATATATATATATATATATATATATATATATATATATATATATATATATATCTATATATATATATATATATAATGAAGCAGATCATTCAAATGAATATGGTTCAAGATAGGTCATCTATCTTGAACCATATTCATTTGAAACTCTCAAACTCTTCACATTGTGCTACTTAAATGATTATTTAATTGAAATATGTTGCATATATATAAGGAACACTTATTCTCTTTTATTTTCATTATCATTTAATTGTCATGAGAATTGAGAAGCTCCAAATAGGTTTGCTTTCTTCTTTCCACCACTTTTTTATGTATATTTTCTTGAAATTTCATAAGAAGTTTGTTGTGTACAAGAGTCAATCCAAATATTTTTGGCATTTAGAGAATATGAAGAATGGATTCAAGGTTGTATGTTTAGAGCCAAAATCCAAAACTTTTTGGTATTTAGAGATGATGAAGAATTGTCTCAAGTTGTACATTTAGAGCCATAAGAAATTCTTCCCAATTTTGATTTGTTATTATTGAAAGTATGTTTGTGAAAGAAAAAAACAAGTTAAACAACGATAATTTTTTAGATGAAAGTTGTATACTTGGAGCTAAAAGAAAAATGTTAGTGTATTTTGATGTTTATAAAGTGTGTTTAAATAAGAATTGTGTTTTGATGTTCTCTTTAAATGTAAATTTTAATTTAATGGGTGTAATTCTTTTTATTTATATCTTTTTAAGAATTGTATTTTTGAAACTTTCCACCTTAAGTGTTAACTTCCAAAGTTAATATTAAAAAATGGTTTTTGAAAAAATATATATTTCGATGGCTATGTTATTGTAATTTAATACACGTAAATGTGATTAATTTTATTGATTATATATTTGGTTGAAAATTATAGACTACTAATTCTAAACATATTACAATCATTTTTTCTAAAATTGTAGGGCGTTAAGTTTGTATATATGACATCTTTCAAACTTCTTTTTGTAATTTAGTATAGTAAATGTGAATAATTTTATTATGTAGTTATGTAATTGTTGTTTCAAATATATAATTTTGTATTATATATTTGATTAAAATATTTGTAGAGCGAAAATAACAGAGTTCATATAAATAAATACGCACAAAATAATATATGCACATAATTTAGTTTTTAATAATTGGTTTAAAGGCTTTCGATATAATATTTGTTTATACATTAGATGATTATCTTATTAATTTAATTGGGTAAATATCACAAAAGACACTCAGTTTACACCGAAATTGAAATTTGACACCTTTTTTTTGTTTCAATTTTGACATTGTGTTATTGATTTTTTACTAAATGTAACCATATGACCTATTACAGTCGGTTAACCGGTTACCTGCCCCTAATACCTTTTCACGACGTCGTCCATGTCATCCCGTTTCCCCTTATTTAACATGCCCATCCCCTTCATTTATCATCCTAATAAAATCCTTGTCACGCAAAAAAAGGACAAAAAGTTTCTAGCCTCATTAACTAGGGTTTCTACCCTCTTTAACTTCGAAGAAAAGTGAAAGCTTACGATGAGGAAACCACGACCTAAGATAAGGAGAGCACAACCGTCCAATAAAATGGAAAAGGGACCATATTACGACTCTGATTTTGAAGAAAGTGAATTAGAGTCAGAATCGGAGAGCGAATCAGAAGGGGCATTTGTTGTCGATGAAGAATTAGGTGACTGTGATGCAGATGAACACACGACTTTTCCACAGTTGAAGGTACCTTTTGATTCCTTCCTTTATGATTTCTACAATGTTTCTGTTTACAATAAGAGGGAAATGTCGATGATGAAGTCATTAGAGAAGAAGGTTATTCTGATAATGAAATTGAAGATGACGAGGATGAGGTTGATCAAGATCCAACCAAATTTAGTGTTCATGAACCTTCTGTTCATTGGAAGAAAATGAAACCACATTTAGGTGAAAAGGATGCTAATCAAATTGACAATGCAGCTGACTAACTATGCAGCTGACAATGGTTATCCAATTAAGGTGGCCAAATCTTCTAGTACAAGGCTTCAAGCAAAATGTGGTTTAGATAATAAAGGAAAGAGATGTACCTTCAAGCTGTGGGTATCCTGAATGAACAAAGAGAAATCATTTCAAATTAAGGGACTTACTAATAAGAATACTTGTGTTAGGGAGTACAAGCATGCCACATTGGTTAATCCTGACTGGATAGCCAAACAGTTCTTGAAAAAACTGTATGTTAGACCAAAACTGAAAGCCATGGAGATGAAAGAAGAAATTTGTATGCATTGTGTCTAAGGGACAATGCTATAGGGCTAAGAAGAAAGCACTAGAGATTTTAACTGGAAAGTTATCAGGGCATTATGCTCGTATATGGGAATATGGATGAGAGATCATCAGATCAAACCCTGGTAGTACAACAAAGGTTGGAGTTGATATCAAAGAAGATGGTAGCAGTGTTTTTAAAAGATTCTATGTATGTTTTAAGGCTATAAAGGATGGGTGGATTAGGGGTTGCAGGAGAGTCATTGGATTAGATGGTTGTTTTCTAAAAGGGCAATGCAAAGGGGAGCTACTCACTGCAATAGGTAGGGATGGGAACAACCAGGTATACCGAATAGTCTCGAATGTGACTGATGTTGAAAACAAGGACAGTTAGGAGTGGTTTAGTAAGTTGCTAGTGGAAGACCTTGGCTTAGAGTTAGGTGAAAGGCTGACAATAATTTCTGATCAGCATAACGTATGTTTACTCTTTTTTGTTTGTTTACTCTTTTATCTACGGTTACTCTTTTTTGTATCTTTACAATTTTTTTATATGAATGTAGGTTTTAGTAGAGGCTGTCAAGGAGAAGTTACCATTAGTTGAGCATAGTCAGTGTGCCAGACATGTGTATGTAAACTTTAAAAAGGTGTACAATGGTATTGATTACAAGAGACATTTTTGGACAGCTTCAATGTCAACCACATAATCATCTTTTCTTAAGACAATGGAGGAACTCAAAGAAATGAATAGGAGTGCTTATGAACACCTCATGGCAAGGAACCTAGAGAGTTGGAGCAGAGCATTTTATAAGGAAGGTAGAGCATGTAAAGCAGCAGAAAATGGTATATCACAGAGCTTCAATTTAGTAATTCTGGAGGCAAGGACTAAACCACTTCTTACTATGTTGGAGGAGCTCAGATTGTATGTTATGGAGAGGTTTTATAGGATATCTATAATACACTTAATATGGAGGGGAGATGTATATCCTACAATATTGACAAAGCTGGATGACTGGTGTTAAGATATGAGGTGAGGTTTTATAGGTAACATTATTCAATATTCACTAAGATTATTCACTAACATGTATTACATGAATTACAGGTTGTGGAGTGTTGTAGCTAGTGACACAAATGTATTTGAAGTGAGACTAGGATTTGAGTCTCTTCAGGTGGACTTAGGAGAACAATTGTGCACTTGTAGATTATGGGAAATATATGGGATTCCATGTGTCCATGCATGTACAGCTATGAACCACACACAACAACAACGTGAAACACTAATTAGTTCATGGTTTTCCAAAGAGAAGTTTGCAGAGACTTACAGAGGCAATATGAGGCCTCTAAATGGTAGTAAAATATGGGCCAGGAAACCATATGCCAAACCACTGCCACCACCTGCAAGGAGGATGCCAGGAAGACCTAAAACTAGAAGAAGGAAACATGTCACAGAGAAGGATGGAGAGTACAAGAAGATAAAGTCTGTTGGAGGAACAAAGATATGCAAGAACAGTTCGGAGGAAGGGCATAGCAAAAGAACCTACAAGAATCCAAGTAAGCCCCAACCTCCAAAGGAGAAGAAAAGAAAGGGTAGGCCACTGACTAAGGATGTGGCAATGAAAAAAACAACAACATCCACAAGTCAAAAGAGTCAAAATAGTCAACACACTTAGGAAATGGATGGATAAGCAAGGTGTAACAGTCAAAAAAAGGTAAGCTTTACTATTTTTTTTATCCAGTCTTTACTGTCTACTATTGTTAAGATAGTTATTGTTTGATTAACAGGGTAAAGCAAAGGCATATCAATTTGTTAAAGGGATACATGAAGGTAGTAGCAAGGACTTTGAAGATGAAGGGCTGCAAGATGTTACGTTGGTCCAGGATTTGAAGGGGGATGCACATGCTATAGATTTTCTTGCATCAAGATACTCAGAGGATGAGGTGTATCATGTACTATATGAACAACATTTAGATGTTGAAGTTTTGGATGAAGTTCCACCTGTTCTTGAGCCTGTGCATGAAGAAGTTCTAGAGGTTAAACAAGTTCAACTTGTTCTTGAAGAAGTTCCATAGGTTGGACAAGTTCCACCTGTGCCTCAAGTTGATATTGTACCACAAACAGAGGATGAAGGCATTGCTGAGACACCACCATCCCAAAGGTTGATGAGAACAAGGAGGCCTTCAGAGAGAATTACTAAAATTCAGACTGGAATGAAGGCTGTTGGAAAGAAGGTTGTTGGACCAGGTCGAAGTAGGTTGGATCCTGTTTCTTTGGAGTAGATTAGGGTGCAGAAGTTTAGGGGTTGATGGGCATGGTTTATGTTAGCCTTTTTTGGTATTATTTAATGTACCCTTAAGTAATCCTGTTGACTATAATTATCTTTTGTATATGGAATACCCAAACATTACTACCCCTTTTGTAAATGGGATGGGTCAATATTGGCAAAATGTATGGATTTTGATGGTAAGAATTTATGTAATGTTGGTATGGTGTTTATGGTAATTTTTTGTTACATAAGTAAAGGGTAGTTTGGTCCACTAGCATCATATAGCATCATACTTCCAATTCACTTGGTTATTTTTTGGTATTTTTCATAGCATTTTTTTCAAAATATGTGTAATGTTGGTATAGTGTTTATGGTCATCATTTTTAACTTTTATAATCCCAATTGTTTCATAAGGTAAGCGTATTTAGGTCCTTTCTTTTTTGGTCACTGGTTTGTTACATAAGTAAAGGGTAGTTTGGTCCACTAGCATCATATGGCATCATACTTCTAATTCACTATCATAAACATATACACTTCACTATATATATATCAAAATTGGTCAACATTAGAACATACAAACTTCAAGGTAGTACATCAATACATACACACAAAAATGGTCAACATTGGACTTTAATCAACATTAATTCATACTTAAAGACCTACCACAACTTCTTCCTACTTACCCCTTGTACACCATCCACATCAAAATTCCTACCATGACTACTAAAATAGAAAGCAAACCAATCACAACCCTAACAAGATTCCTCAAACTTATTTCACCATGATGTGGGTTTCCTTTTCCCTGTCCAGTGGTTTTTTTCTTCTTTGCCATAACTTCAAATAGAAGTTCCTTGTACCATGGACTTCGTTCACCGTCATACCATTCAAAGTAGCCACCGTCTTCAACTTCACCGGGCCGTTACCAGTACCCAAAGCATCTTCTTCCGGGATTCTTCTTACTCATTGATATCTTCAAGGGGGAAATTACTCCACAGTAGCACGTCCTAGAGGGACCATTGTTTGACTTGTTTACCCCATCATTGATCCAGCTGATCAAGACGAAGACACCACTACACAATCCTTGTGAAGAAGAACTGAGATGAAAAAGTGAAGATCGATCTAGGGTTGTAAAGGGTTGAGGTCATTAGGATCAGTTATAAAGGCTCAACTGCCATGTAGGATCTTAGGTGGATGCCACATAAGCAAATGGCCCACTCAGCAAAATTCAAACCGGTTGACCTGAAGGCAACCAGTCATATGGTTATATTTAGTTAAAAATCAATAACACGGTGTCAAAATTGATACAAAAAAAACACGGTGTCAAATTCGAATTTCTGTGTAAACTGAGTGTCTTCTGTGCTATTTACCAAATTTAATTTACTAAATACATTTTAAATATTTTAATCATATTTCATTAAGTCTCATAAGCATCAATTAAGTACAATGAATGAAAAACCATTTTTGCTGTAGTCACTTAATTCTGAATAATCTTTAATTGAAATTTGTAAACTTGAAATATTAAAATTGAACTTCATTGTAATTAATAAATTTTTATTACATCAATGTGGTTAAAGATATAATTTTAATTATTCTTACAAATATTCACTTAAATAATCACAATTTATATAATAATTTAGACCTCTATACACATAGTCCTTATATAAAAAAATACATAAAAAATATTAGACACACATAAGTTATTTTTGAGTAAAAGGTTTTGATGTTTTTGATACAATAATTAGTCAACACATTAGATGGTTATATTATTCTTTAATTGACTAAACACAATTCCATTCCTATTTTACTAATCACCATTAGTATCAACATAAATAAAAAGCTTTACTTAGGTGTACTTGTTTAATTTTAAATAAAATGTACTGATACTTTATTAGTTTTACTATTAGTCCAAAGGCTATTTTATAAATAGTTGAAAGTTACAAGGTATAATGTTAAACGTAAAACCTAAACTGTAATTAGAATATTAATTAAAAATATCCTAAAACAATGTATATAATCAACAATGTTTTGGTCAAAAATTACACACGTACTAATCAACCAAATTGAATGAGAGGCTATGGTGTTCAGATCGTGTAATAGCAAATGGTAAAAGAAAGTGAGACAATGGTTTACAAGGAAAGCCCTTGATCCTTGCTAGGATCTCCGACATAAAACCTTGGGAGGTGATAATGATCACCTGCCTTGATGATTTTATTAATAAAGATTACAGTGAGTTCTTAGTAAGAATGAGTAAAGAATTTCGTAGAGTAAGCTTAGACTAAAGAACAGTGTGTCGTGTGTAGATTACAAGTGTCAATTTATAGCCTAAACTAGCCAACAATATGTCCGATATTTCCGGGATCCTCTATGACCAGCTTCATGAACATTATTTGACCAAGTATTCCGGGTCTTTAGCATAGTTGAGATGATTTTTCATTGAGAATTGGTCTTCCCTTGACTACTTTTGCACACGTGTTATTTATAGACAAAATATGACTGTTATAAATATTAATAAAAATAATAACGGTAATTAGCTGGGATCCTGATGTAGCTGAGGATCCTGGATATTCGAGGATCCTGAATATCATAAGGATCCTGGCCCTAACAATTGCCCCCAAGTTATTCCTGAAAATATCGGGGTTAGTTTTGTAAATATTAAAGGAATAACTTTAATTAAGTTTGAAATCAATCATTGATGGATAGGTCTTATCTCTATCGAGATAATCGAGAAATGGTCAAATCATCTCTGTTATCTTTTTCCAGCTATAAATGGTTGCTTTCGGTAACTCCTCTTTTTATTTTTCCAAGTCGCCGTCATCTCATTGTGAACGTAATCTTTTTCCTTTTATTTGTTCTTCCGTTGTTTTTGATTTTCCTCGTCATGGCTATGAAAATTAGTCGTTCTCGAGCTGGCATTGTTATTCCTTTTGAGAACGATTTTAATGATCAAGGAATATTAACCTATGATGAGGTTTGTTCTTTCGATAATGAAGACATGTAATCGTTGAAAGCTATCGGGGCTTTCCCTTCTGATGTGGTTTTTCGTCCTTTCGAGGCTACCGTTCAACCTGATTTTGTGTCTCCAACATGGGTTTGTTTTCTTGAATACCCATTCACTCTAGGTTTAACTTATCCTTTTACTGGTATTATTCGTGATTTCTTTTTGTGTACCCAAATATCCTATATCCAAACTATGCTTGTAGTTTGCAGGATCCTCTTTTGGATTGATCGTCTGAATCAGTCCAAAAATATGGACATTGGACTACCTGAATAGGACTTCATCTTTGATCTTTCTACTTTCGGTTCTTCTCGTTTCCTGTTAAAAGTTAAGACAAACAAACCCCACCTAATTCTGAAATCTAAACAAAATGATGGCGCTTGGAAAGAAAAATATTTCTTCATGAGACGCGACTCGATTCCTAAAGGGGATTCCCTACCAATATCATGGATTAAAAAGGGTAGGAAACAAGTTTAGATATCAAGGATCCTGAAATTTACTTCCGTTATTTTGTTTGTTTTGATGCAACGTTTAGGTTTGAGGAGCTTGTTCCTATCGCCGGTGACTCTGAGGACAAGATATCCAAATTCTTCACACTTTCTGCAGTTGAGAGGTCGTTCAGGCTTGAATATTCCCGCCTTCAAGAGGGTTCCTCCACCACTGTATCTATGGCTACTGGTAAAAATTATTTTTCTTGGATATATCTTTTTAGAGGATCCTGACTTGATAGGGATCTCTGGAAGGTTCTAAGACTACCCGATCCAAGGCCCGCTTTGGTTTGGCAGATCTTGAAGATGATATGACCAGTGGTTCAATCAAAGCTAAACAGGAAAAAGGTGCCATCCTACTTCCTCCCAAGAGATCTCATATAGATCTTATGGTTAAGGCTTCAGGATCCCGAAAACGAAAGACTTCGGAGGCTGTAGATTTCAACTTAGAGAACCTCAGCATCGAGGATGCTCTTGGGAAGTTGTCTTCACTTTCCCAAGATGTAAGAATTATGCATAGGCATTATTCACATTAATCTAACATACTTGTCATTTTTCATGCCGATGTTTATGTTTCTTCCAGGTCTTCGCTCACGTTTCTCATGTTACCAACGACTTCAGGGTCCGTGTTGATAAAGCTGAGTTTGTTCTAAAAGAGTAGGAGAAGACATGGAGGGTCACCAATGAGGATCTTCTCCAAAGGGTGGAGTTGTTGAGCAAACAGAAAGTCGAAAAGGAAGAAGCGGATCTTGAGGAGGTGATTGTTGATGCGAAGACAAGTGTTGCGATAGCTATTCTGCAGGCTAAGATCAAGCTGGCTGAGGATCTGGAAAACACGAGTTCTTGGGACGTGGAGGGATTGCATGAGGCGTTGGCCAAGCTGATCGATAAGCCTGTTGTCGCCAATCAGGATCCTCTGTTGATGTTGAACGGAGGAGGGGAGAGGAAGGACACGGCCGATGATGACCAGATTAAGGTCTAGGCCTGCAAAAAATTGGTTTAAGTAGTTTTTGTTTTTGTTAGTGATGTAAGACAATTAACCTTTTGACTGGGTTGATATGCAAGCCTTTCTTCTTTTGAATGATATGGTAACATTTATCTTTTACATCTCTCTCATGGTTTTTCTGCATGGTTGATTGTCTTCGAGTTTCTCTTTAAGCTTCATGAGTCTTTGAATTTTAGAATTTACTGAGGATAAATTCCAACTTAGGAGAGAACTTTGGTTCACTGTCGAGAATGAGGTTCCTTACCAATGAAGGTCGATAAAGATCCTTAAGGATAAGGATCTTTACTGTCAGAGATCCTAAAAAATAAGGATCTTAG